AAGACACTCCATGGAAGTCTTACACCTCTCTACACTCCAACCACAACTGCCGAGTTGCCCCTGTGCCCAGAACTCCAAGCTAGTCAAGCTGTAAACAGGTCCAGGGAACAACAGGCGGTGGGTGTGTGCAGGTCTGCAGAGGCGGAAGGCAGGCTAGCCCCGGACTCTCCTTCCCGTGCTGACGTCTTTCTGTTCAACAGTCCACTGTAGCTTTCCAGGGTAAGTTCCAAATAAAGTCCAAAGAAGATGCAGGGTCAATCTGACCGGCTACTCTTCTAGAGGGAGGTGTTCCTAACCTGCAGTCCCTGCAGCTTTGTTTCGGCCAAGATGAAGTTTAGATCCAGACGTGCAATGCAATCTAGATGACGGTGCAGACTAAGTCAGAAGCTAAAGGTGAGCACTCCCATGAGCTAAGACAGGGATGCACACACCAGCAACCCTGCTGTCACAAACACAGGCTTCTTTCTTTTTTTTTTTTTTTTGGTTTTTCTCCGGTACCAGGAACTGAACTCCCGACCTTGCGCTTGCCAGGCAGGCGCTTTGGCCGCTGAGCTAAATCCCCAGCCCCATACAGGTTTCTTTCCATCACCTACCAAGAGGTAGGGTGGGTGCGGCAGTTACCAAAACTGCTGAGCCTTCTGGAAAATGCTCCCCAAAACCATGTTAATAGCCTTTAAAAAGCAGATAAATGGGAAAAAACAAAGAAAAATAAAATTTTTAAAACCAAAACCTTAAAACAGTTTTGAAAATACATAATCTAATTATCCTTGTATAGCCAGCAATTTAAAAGAAACTAATCTCTTCCAAAGAATGTTTGGAGTAACATGTTCCAGCAGCTTGAAAAACTGGTGATCCATGCATGACTGTCCCACGGGGCAGCCTGTACCACCGGTGGTACCAACGGATCTCCTCCCCTTTATCAGTCTGTTTACTAAGAAAACTAACAAAAAGCCACCCAATGGGACAGTCATGCATATGCCACTGGTGGTTCAAGCTGCCCAGAAGGGAGACGTACGAATGACGGCCTGGTTGAGAAGATGTTAAGATGACCACCTGCTCGAAACCATCAGAGCCACTTCAGTGAAAGGGCAGAGACTAGGTTTCAAGGCACCTGGCTCACACAAATCTGTATTTTTAATAAAATGTGATGACCCTTCCTTTCTGTGAGGCTGGGCAATATTGATTTCACAGTTTAATACTTTTCAGAGTATGATCAGCCTGCTTGGTAAAAGCATCTTGCCCTTGCCCCAGCCGGTGCCAAGCATCTCCCAGGAAGGGACTGGTTAGAATGAAAAAGGAACAGGGTCCTTGTGGGTAGGGCGAGGCCTGGGTGAGGACTCTTTAGGTCTGATAGGTTCCGGTCCAGCCCTAAACACAACTTCCTCTTACCCTTCCCGCGCGCAAAGGAAGCCCCAATCCGCTCCTAAGTCGTCACTGAGCCCCGCCCCTCAAGCTCCGCCTCTAGCCAGAGTCCTCACAAACCCCCAGCGTCCTTTGTCTAACCCAGAGGATCTCTGTGCTGCATGCAGTCCTCTCCTCTCCTGGTCCGGAGTGGAAAAAGGCCCTCTTTCCCCTTTGTTTCTTCTTCTGTGCCCAAAACCTAACAAGGACCATAGATTTGAAGAAAAGTAACAGCGAAAGTGTGAGAAGACGGATTTACCAGGCAGACTGATTTATTCATTATTCTACAAGGCCAATGAAGGCTTGACACCAACCTTTAGAAATAATTTTTTCTTTTCTCAATGAGCAGAAAATAAAAATGCCTTGACAATACTTCAACTGGAAGGCAGGTCATAGCTAAGTCCCTGCAGTGAGGAACAAGTTCGAGGTCTTGTTCCTATGTTTTCCCCTTTCGCATCTTCCGTCATCTTTCACGCTCTGAAGCGACTGCACCGCAGCTACCGACACAAACAGGAATAATATGTTGTGGTTACGCACGGATCAGAATTGCTCAGACCCTTTTCTGCTGTCACTTTGCTGTGACCTTTGAATAGCTCACATTTTAGCCCAAGCACGATCTCTGTTACAATCTGAGTCATGCTGTGCGGTAGATAGAAAAATACTGCAAAATGAACTAGAAAAAACAAAACAAAACAAAATGAACTAGAGCTGCCTAGCTTTCAGCTGTCTGAACAACCTGCAGGATCCCAGCATGAGTTAGTCCTCTTTACTCTCTGGGCCTTCTGAATGATGTCATACTGATCATCGTTTATATTCTGAAAACTAAACCATGTAAAACAGGGACCCTTTTAGAGAGAATATTTATGTGCGTTGTTGCAGGAAAGAACAACTGAAGAGAAGATGCCTCTCATGCAAGGTCAGCAAATCTCAAGTTATGGTTGAGCTGAACCATACTGTCTGAATTACTTTTTTTTTTTTTTTTCCGGTACCGGCAATCGAACTCACGACCTTGCGCTTGCCAGGCAGGCGCTGTGCCGCTGAGCTAAATCCCCAACCCCTGAATTACTTTTTAAGTCAATAAAAAGAGCAAGAATCAATTTGGCTACCTTTTCTTTTTCTTCTTTTTTTAAAATAACAAATTCTTGAGTATTTTTTCATTTTTAACCAACACATAATTTTACCTATTGATGTATCACAGTGTGATATTGGGAGAGACATATGCAATTTGTAATGATCGAATTAGGGCAGTTAACCTATCCATCACCTTAACTGCTTATTGAACCTTTGTTTTGGAAAAATTCAAACTCCTCTCTTTTAGCTATTTTAGGATTGTTTGCTTTTTCTTAAACCAAGCGCAAAGCATGAGAACAGATACCACAAAATTTTGGCCATGAATTCCAAAGGTGCAAAAGTCCTACCTTCTTCTCTTGCTCCTGCCTTTTGGACAAAGCCTCAATTTCCCTAGTATGCCAACACGAGTCGTGAAAGGGAAATAATCAGTGTGAAGGCATTGGACCAAAATTGTCGCTGCCACTGAGCTACTGTCAAGTCTCTTGCAGCTCCTGATTCTACCTCCTGTACCAGACTTTGCTACCCACTTATGAAATCCAATACAGCTTGGGGGCTGGGGATTTAGCTCAGCGGCAAAAGCGCCTGCCTGGCAAGTGCAAGGTCGTGAGTTCGGTTCCCGGTACCGGAGAAAAACCAAAAAAAAAAAAAAAAAGAAAAAGAAAAAGAAATCCAATAGAGCTTAAGAAGAGACAAAGAAAGCCGAGTGTGGTGGCACACATCTATAATCCAGCACTCTGGGAGGCTGAGGCAGGAGGATTGAAAATTTGAGCCCCACCTGGGCAACTTAGAGCCATTTCATAACAAAAAGAGCTGGGGATGCAGTTCAGCTTGGAGGCCCTGGCGTAGGGGGGTGGGAGGAGCACAAATCTATTTTTTAAAGACTATAAATTACAATCCCAGGTAGAATATATTTTTATTTTCTCATCATCCACTTCTTCATTAAGCACAGGCCATCAAGTAGTGCTGACATAAATACATACTTTTGTAAGAAGTAGAATTTCTTCAAGGAACAAAGTAATTAAACTACAGTATGAATTCATCCTTTCTGGTGTAATACGACCACACCTTTAACAGCTATGGTATGTGTCATATTGATCGAAAACCTCAAGGACAGGAGTCTTCTAAAATGATGTTCAAATCTTCCTGTATGTTACGTGTGCAACCTAATCTAGGTTAGGTGCCCAAGAAAAGGTCCTGCTAGGCATACTGACATCTTCGCTCCTCAGTGGGGTGGGATGTAAGACTGTGGATCAACAGGTCATGGCTGCGAATTTTGAATAACAACAGGAAAAAAACACACCCCGTCACTTGCTTTAGCATTTGAGATTATGTTGCAGAACCTGCTGGATGCGTACCGAAAAATTAACAGAAGTTACTTTTAGCAATGAGAAACTCGGCTCACTGATAATTATACATGCAAAGAAACTAATTGTAAAAATATTTTATTTATTTAAATGACTTGATGTTACAAAATGGAAAGGTCCCGTGGGGACTGCTTTGGGGTTCGGTCCAGCTGTGGGGTGCTACTCCTCGCTCAGGTTCACTGAGCCGGGTTGGCCCCACGTTTAACGACAGTCGGTAGGAGAGTGTCGAGGTCTGGGCCGCTGCGGAGCTCTGCTGCAAACTGTTCACAGCTCGGCGTCTCTCCCAGCGCCGGCGTCCGCGCTCCGCTGCAGAGGTCCTCACCAGCGCTCCAACAACCCTCCCGCACTCGGACGCCAGCTTGAAGCCCACGGACACAGCCCCAGACAGCCGATACTGACAACGGCCCCAGGGTCAGGCTCTCAGGCGGAATTTTGAAGCTGGATCACCTCCCTGCAGCCCGCTGTCCACCAGACACACCCCATCCCTGGCGAGAGCGGCAGGCGCTGGACTTGCGACTGTGCTTCAGCCCACTCGAGCAGGCTGGGTACAGCGGCAGAAGACTCGAGCCCGCCCCCGCCAGGCAGAACCGAGCCGCGCCGAGCCAAGCCGTGCCGAGCCGAGCCGAACCGAGCCGAGCCGAGCCGAGCCGAGCCGAACCGAGCCGAGCAGAGGCGTCCAGGCCGCCGCTTTTCCCCGGGCGCCGAACCCACCCGTGGCCTCGCGAGCCCTGGGAACGGGTTTCCGCAGAGAACCAAGATTCCAAAAAAACCTACATGAAAGTTAACGTTTGTATGATGTGCTTAATTCTTAATCCTCACAACAGCTTTCGAGGTCGAAGCTACTATCATAAATATATCCACATTAAAAACGAGGATCTAGCAATGAAAAGGGGGCCAAGGTAGGAGGGAAGGAGAATTAAAAAGAATTAAGATGTGTTATGTGCATTGGTCAACGCCCCACGAGGAGTGTAATCATCATATACTGCAAACATGTACTAATAAAAATAAATTTAAAAATAAAAATGAAGAAATTAAGCTTTAGGTAACTTCAAGCATCCAAAAGAATGTGGAATCAGAACTCCAGCTACGCCAGATTCCTGCTCGGTAACTAAGTAACCGCCTGTTTGGGCATGCGCAGAAAGACACCGCAGCCAAGGCCGGATTGTAGGAAACCGGCGCCGAGGGGCGGGGCCGCCAAGAGCCCAGCATGCCCCACGCGCGCCAACATGGCGGCGCCCGTGTTGAGGCGGCTTTCCCCGGGCCGGTGGTTTGGCTGCCCGGGATTGTCAGGACGCTTGCCCCGGGGTCCGCGTCAGTCACACTCGGGCGCTCAGGGACTGCTGGCGGCTCAGAAGGCTCGGGGTCTTTTCAAGGAGTTCTTCCCGGAGACGGGCACGAAGATTGAGCTCCCAGAGCTCTTCGACCGGAGGTCGGCGGGCCACACTCCCCAGACCGTTTACTGCGGCTTCGACCCCACGGCCGACTCGCTTCATGTGGGGCATCTGCTGGCGCTGCAGGGCCTGTTCCACTTCCAGCGAGCGGGCCACCATGTGATCGCGCTAGTGGGAGGCGCCACGGCGCGCCTGGGAGACCCGAGCGGCCGCACCAAGGAGCGCGAGGCGCTGGCGGCGGAGCAGGTGCGGGCCAACGCGGGCGCCCTGCACCGCGGGCTGCGGGCCCTGGCCGCCAATCACCAGCGGCTGTTCGCCGATGGGCGGGCCTGGGGCAGTTTCACGGTGCTGGACAACTCGGCCTGGTACCACAAGCAGCGCCTCGTGGACTTCCTGGCGGCCGTGGGCGGCCACTTCCGCATGGGCACGCTGCTGAGCCGGCTGAGCGTGCAGGCGCGACTCCGGAGCCCCGAGGGCATGAGCCTGGCGGAGTTCTTCTACCAGGTGCTCCAGGCCTACGACTTCTATTACTTGTTCCAGCATTATGGGTGCCGGGTCCAGCTGGGTGGATCGGATCAGCTGGGCAACATCGTGTCCGGATACGAGCTCATCCACAAGTAAGCGCCTGCTTTGTACACACCACGGACATTCAGAGGCTAAGTAATATACACACGAATAGCCTATTGGCTTTATCCTTGTTAAGGCTTTGTAATGACCTTAATAACACGAGCTGTGCAGGAAATAGACCGCTAGTCAGGATTCAGGTTGTGTCTGCTTCCCCTAAGTCGCCTGTGCTTTGCTTCTAACTTGAGAAATTGCACTTGTTTAAGGTAATTGGGCGACCTGTAGTCACCTCTGCTTTAGCTTTTGAGGCTCCGTGAAGGTAGTTCTAGTCTTTCATTGGCATCTCGGAAATTTCACAGCTCCAAATATTTGACAAGTAATGTAGATTTTATTGGCGTTTATGAGGGAGATGTAGAACAGAGCTAGCCCCTATGCTATGTAGAACAAAACTTTTTTTTGGTGGTGCTGGGGATCGAACCCAAGGCCTTGTGCGTGCAAGGCAAGAGCCAGCATAAAACTTACTTTAAAAATCCCTTTAAAATAAATAAAACATCTCCTTTAGTGTTTCTACCTAACTCGACTCTCACTTGCTTTCTTTCCTCTACTTTTCAAAAATCACTTCCCCCTGGCTTGCCCGGAGCCACCCTGTGCCATGGTAGTTTAGGATGATAAGTGTGAACATAAGGTGAGTGTTGTCAAACAAAACAGAAGAGGGGTAAGAATCTAGATTTAGGAGGTCAAGGAATTATTTTGGAGCAAATAACCAGACTGAGATCTTGAAGGGTAACTAGTGTAACCTAACGGTAATTGTGCCTGAAGCAGTCATGAAATCCTTCTTCCTGCATAGACTGACTGGAGAAGATGTGTTTGGAATCACTGTCCCTCTAATTACAAGCACAACTGGAGCAAAGCTGGGAAAATCCTCTGGCAATGCTGTGTGGCTGGACAGAGAGAAGACATCTCCCTTTGAATTGTATCAGTTCTTTGTCAGACAGCAAGATGATTCTGTGGAAAGGTGAGTCCTCAAGTAGTAGGCTGAAGATAGTTTTCTACAATCTCTATATACCCTTTATAGTTTGTTGAGTTTTATTTACTTATTTTTAATTTAGAGTATTTAAGGCATTGTGTCACAGAACATTGTAACTTTCACTGTGTTCTTTAACTTAAACTTTTTGTTACAGACTACCATGGTGGTTAGCTAGAAAACTTAGAACCAAATTTTATATCTAGCAAGTGTTTATGATTTTATCTTGTGTATATCCTAGTCTTTTCACTCCATTCATCTTAAACTCTACTATTTTTGTTTTCTGTCTTTCCTCTCACAGGTTTCACTCTAACATTTGTTTTCTTTAATGTGGCACTTTCTATTTTGATTGAGGGTCTCATCACCTCACTAAGTTACCCAAACTGGGCTCAAATTTGGGCTCCTCCTGCCTCAGCCTGTCTTAGAATGCTGGCATTACAGGCTTGTAAAACTATATAAACCCAGCCCCTTTTTATTTTTTATTTTGAGACTGGGCCTTGCTAAATTCCCAAGGCAGGATTGGAACTTGCACTCTTCCTGCGTTAGCTTCCCTAAGTGCTGGAATTAAGATCCGCAACACTGTGCTGGCAAGGATTCTTTTTAAAGTGACGTCCCTGTTAACTTACATCGCCTTATACTCTTATAAGAATATAATTCAAGGCAAAAAAAAAAAGACCTGCAACAAAGGAAACTAAAAGAATATTTGATCCTCTTGTATCATAAAAATAATCTAGTAATAATTCTTTTAAAATTTTTAAATATGTAACTTTCCTGCAAATCATCAGAAAAGACTCTTGACCAACATAAAGACCTCCATAAATGGAGAGTTATGCCATATTTATAATATAGATGAGGTATCAATTCTCAATTTGATCCATATATTCAATGCAGTCCCAACAATACAAACGGGGCTTATGGACTTAACAAGCTTATTCCAAGATTTATGTGGAAACAAAAAGATCTAAGATTGCCAAGACTTTTTTTTTTAATATAGTGCTAGAGATTGAACCTAGGGCATTGCACATACTAGGCAAGTGATCCTACCATGAAGCTATATCCCCAGCCCATGCCAAGTCCTTTTTGAAGAACAAAATGGATGATAATATATCTTACTGCAAAACTACAGTAATTAAGGCTTTTCCTGTAGATTTATGGTAGCATGTTTGGTGATACAGTCCTAGGACTTCGATGTATCAAAAAATTACACATTTTTGAAAGTTTCATTTTCTGTTTTGTGAAGGGCTTGAATTTAATCCCCCTCCAAAATTCTCAAAGCTAGTGTGCAAAGGACAATGCAGTAGAGAAAAGGCAAGAAACATGAACAGGCATTTCACAAAGATCCTATCCAAAGGCCCCAAAAGTGCTCAGTCTTCATAATAAAAAAAAAAAATGCAAAGTAAAGGCACAGTGAGATACACTACACCTTCCATAGTGGCTAAATGTAAGACTTGGCAGTACAGTACTAAGCATCATAATATAGTACAAAGCATCTATGAGAACATTCCAAGGTGGTGAGAGAGTGAACTTACAGATCTGTATTGGAAAACTATTTGGCAGTACATATGTACATATGCTGTGACCCTAGCAGGTCTTCTCCTGGTTACATACCCAGCAGAAATGAGTATATGTATTCACCTAGACTGCTTAAATATATGAAAATATTCATGCAGTATTATCATTGTCCAGAAGTAGAAACAACATTAATTCCCACAGCAGAGTAGAATAAATAAATATTTGATGGATGAATAGTCACAGGATAGAATGTTATGCATGCAACATCATGAACAAATCTCCTAAACATACTGATGTGCCAGAGTAGCCAAGTACAATAATACATTCTTTTAGGGTTTGAAATACTTCTCTCTAAGCTCTTCTTGACTTAAGGGTTTGTATTGAGAAGTCTGCTGTGATTCTCATGGGTTTTCCTTTATAGGTGATTTGTTTCTTATCTAATAGCTTTTAATATTCTGTTATGTTGAATTTCTGGGATCTTGGCTATTATATGCCTTGATGTAAATTTTTTTCTGGCTATTAGGAATTCTACATGCTTCACTTATCTGTATGTTAAATTCTTTTTCCATGCCTGGGAAGTTTTCTGCTATTACTTTCGTGAACAGGTTTTTTATGGCCTTTGTGCTTCTTCTGATTTTTCATTGATTCCCATTACTTTTATATTATTTGTTTTAGTTACATTACTTTTTCATTGCTGAGACAAAGTACCAGACACCCAGAGTAAAGAAAAAGAGGTTTATTTCAGCTCACAGTTTACATAGGTTTCTGTCCATAATTGGCTGGCTCCAAGGCACGATGATATTGCAGGAGGGCCATCATAGAGGAGAAATAGTCCATGGCAGGCGGAAGACAGCAAAAGCAAGCAAGCAACCCAAGCATCTTTTTCTTCCTTATATCTTATCCAGGCTACTCAGGGTGGGTAAAGCACTCATACCCTTAATCTTTGTGCCTTTGATCCTAGCATTGCACCGTGAATCAATCCCAGTATCACACATCAGATCAAGCCACCTCTGAAAAAGCTCCAACTATGACTGCATGAGCCTTTGCAGGGACATCTAGCCACAAGAATTCTTTGCGTTGTCTAGCAGCTGTTGTGTTGATTTTTCATGGTCCTTTCCTATAAAAATACATACTTTATGATTCCATGCATGTATCGTGGCAAAACTTGCTGGGCATGGTGGCATGCCTGAAAGTTACAACTATTCTAGAGCTTAGGCAGGAGGAGGCCCATTGAGCCCAGGAGTTTGAGGCCAGTGTAGGCAACACAGACCATAACTCAAAAAAAAAATCAAAACTAAGTGATGCATTTAGGGAAGTTTACTGAGGTGTTGATATAGTTAAAAGAAAAACAAGGAACTGATTATCCTTAAAGCATAATAAGGATTAAACTGGAGGGATCCTGGGGGCTTGGGCTTTGTTGGGTAGGGGCAGTGTTGTATTTTTTAACTAAAGGGATGGTTACATGGATGTTTGCTTTATAATGATTCATTAAGCTGTATGTTTTCGGTGTATCATTTCACCAAAGAAAAAGTTTAAAAAGATACGTATAAAATGTCAATTTTTAAATTACACAGTACTTTTTATTCATGAGTAAATCAAAAGTACTGTATAGCAACAACGTTCTTGCAAAGGATTTAGATTAGTGGTGATCTCTGGGAACAGAGACCATATTTAAAAATATGAGAGATTCATATTTGAAAATAAAAAAGTTTGAAAAGTAAGCAGGATATTCTTTAAAGGGTGGGGGAGCTGGAGGTAAAATTAAATGTATGATATAAATATAACCTTTATTTCTTGTCCCCAAGGTACCTGAAGCTCTTCACTTTTCTGCCCCTTGCAGAGATTGACCACATTATGCAGCTTCACAGCAAAGAACCAGAAAAGCGAGGTCCACAGAAGCGACTTGCTGCAGAAGTAACAAAGCTTGTTCATGGACAGGAAGGATTGGATTCTGCTAAAAGGTAGCCTTTAAAGCAATTAACACTCCATCAAGTTTAGTTAACAGACTTGAGAAATTTTGGAGCTATGCAAGATAGATGTTGCTGTTTCACAAATTTTCAGTATGGACACTTGGTAGTTATATAATGTGTACTATGGCATGTACAAAGCACTTATGTGATGTGGCTTTCAAAATTCTTCTAGGTGTACGCAAGCCCTGTACCATAGCAGCATAGATGCCCTGGAGGTCATGTCTGACCAAGAGTTGAAAGAGTTGTTTAAAGAAGCTTCATTTTCTGAATTAGTCCTTGACCCTGGAACAAGTGTCCTAGACACATGCCGTAAAGCAAATGCCATTCCTGATGGTCCTCGGGGGTAAGGTTATTTACCTTTTTGATTCACCATTCACTGTTACAATTCACAGCATGCTTCCAGAGAGGGTGTTTTCCTGATGCTTTCTTGGCATCTCATTTCTTGCAAAAGTTACATTATTCCAAGAATAAAGTGAAAACAAAGTACTTACTGTTGAAAATGCCTCACATTTTCTAGAGTATTCTTATACTCATGAAATTGGCTAGTTTTCCTTTTGGTACTGCAAGTCTAGCATTGAGCAGCCATGTTGCTTAGGAAATGCACTCCTCAATCAGTCAGCTTAGAGCTGTGGTCACAAATTGAAAAGGGAACAAAGTGACATGACTCTTCTCATTCTGGTTCTCTGTCTTCTTCACTTGGGGACAGAAGTTGAGGTGGGCATGGTGGCACATTTCTGTAAGTCCAGCACTTTTGGTTATCCAAAACAGGAAGACTACAAGTTTTAATGTAGCTCAGCCAGAGCAATTTAGTCATTTAGTGAGACACTGTCTTAAAATGGGGTGGTATACCTCAGTATAAAGACTGAGTTGTCCCCAGTAATTAAAAAATATATATTTAAGTAAAAAGTTGATTGAATTGCTGAAAATGAAATGAGATAATGTAATTTCATAAGGCTTATAAACTACAAAATATTCCTCTTGGTAGTTGCATTTTTCTTCAGGAAGTAGGCAGAATATTTTAATCCTTGTTATACCATATTATTAGAGGATATTTTTGCTCTGTAAAACATTATTTTACATATAATTAATGCTTACTCATTTCTAACTGAATAGTGAGATGTAAAAGAAAAAACATTAGCCAGGAATGGGCAATTGTGATTGGATCGCTGTAGTTACTTAACGTTTCTGTTTTCAGGTATCGAATGATAACAGAAGGTGGAGTCAGTATAAATCACAGACAAGTAACAAATCCTGAGAGTGTTTTAGTTGTTGGACAACACATTCTCAAGAATGGACTCTCTTTACTTAAAATAGGAAAAAGGAATTTCTACATTATAAAATGGCTTCAGTTATGAAAAATCATTTTGGTTCTTCAGATTTATCAGTCCCAAAACATGAAAGGTTGTCTTCAAAATGAAAAAGAGGCCTCATAATGTCATTTATTTTTTTGAGTTGGTTAATAAGTAAGGTGTTTATTTAATGATGGTTAATTTCCTGGCCCACAGACATTAATTACCATAAAAATCCATGATTTCAAAAATTAAAGCTGGGCATGGTGGCACATATCTATAATCCCAGCCCTGGAGGCTGAGACAGATGGATCACCACAAGTTTGAGGCCAGCCTGGGCTAAATAGTGAGTTCAAGACCAGCCTGAACTACATAGCAAGACTCTATCTCAAAAATAAAAGAACCACTGGGCATGGTGGCACACGCCTATAATCCCAGCACTTGGGAGGCTGAGGCAGGAGAATCATGAGTTCGACACCAGCCTGGGCTACAAAGTGATCTCAAGGCCAGCTGAACTGTATAGCAAGACCCTGTCTCGAAAAGACCAAAAAATAAAAAATAAAAAAAAATAATTGATCTCTTAAAAAGTCTACTTCATGAAAGAACTAAATGATGTCTTTTCTGTCTTACCTTTCTTGTTCTTTTGGAAGTGATAAGGTAAAGCAATGAAAAGATACAGTATTTGTAGGTACATTCATCTCAAAAGGGGAACATTGATCTCACTAAGAAGCCATGGCTCTACTGTCCATATTAGAAATGAAAAATCTGTTTCTTTGATTATTTTGTTGTTTGAGAATCAAACAGATACCATTAAAAATTATGGTAGGGAACATTTTCAAAGCAAAGAATCAATCACTACTTTTCAGGAAGTTTCTAATTCAGCCTGTATTTCAGTCAGTATAATTCCTTACTCACACCCTTTTGTCAGTGGACTCCTAATGTAGCAGTATTTTATAAATGTAAAAACTTTCATTTGATCACAGAGCCACACTGAGCCTAGGTGAACTTCAGAAGCTTTAGTGAGCTGCTCAGGGTCGGGGGGGCGCTGCACCTCCTGAACATTGCAGGAGCAACAGTGAACCTCAGTGAACAGCAAGGGAGGTCAGAAACCCCACCCACCCACCGCCCCTCTGCCATCCAGGAAGCCTCAGTCTGAAGAAAACCTGCTGCCTGGCCAGTACTGCTACACTGTGGGTCAGGCAGCCAGCGCAGGAAGCACCCAGGATATGGCAACCATGTTGTATGGAGGAACCCAGGGTGAATCTACTCTAACAAGGGGAAAAGACTTTACATACAAGCTCCTAATTTATGATAAGTTCTGTTATATAACTACAGACTTTGCTCTAATGGTCCAAAATACAAAATCAGTAGTTACCACAGTTGGTCAGTTTCTAAATTATGCTTAGTGCTAATTATATTACTGTAGCTTGAATGTCTTATCTGTTTTAATAAGTTGTTGTCCCTTGTGTAACAATATTGGGAAGCTCTGGGCTAATAACCTCACCACAGCCCTACATGAAAAGACTGGGGACTAAGCCAAACAGAAACCAACGTAGCAATCTCAATTGAGAAGGTAGGATCTTGAGACAGACACAAACCAAGAATCTCCTACACACAGAAGATATCCTTGAAGTACACATTATTCCTGGAGAGGCCTTGATATTAGTGATACAGCTATGTACTGCCAAAACACAACCATCACCACAGAGAACAAATTTTGAAATGAAAAATGTCAAAACGAAGGAGGAAAATGCAATCTCAGACCTCCAGCCTACCCAGAACAAGTCCAGGACACATCAATATAGAAGAAATTAGAAGTCACAAATCTGAAGTTTCTGAAATGATAGCAACTGAAGTAAAGAAACAACTCCAGGCTGGGGATTTAGCTCAGTGGCAAAGCGCCTGCCTGGCAAGCGCAAGGTCGTGAGTTCGGTTCCTGGTACCGGAGAAAAACCAAAAAAAAAAAA